CCTCCCTCCCCCCCTCCCTCCTTCCTCACCACTCCGGCCTGGGAGGGATACCTACTCTCTGTCTGCGTCGTTGCCGTCCTTCCCATGTGCGTCATTCCCTTCCTTTCTGAAGCTCCACCCCCATTCATCTCCTCCACGATTTGCTTTCCTCCTCCTCCCTCTCCCCCTCGTCTACCGCTGGTCGCCTCACCTACCACCTCCCGCACCCACCCCGGCTCAACAGCCGGAGAAGATGGCGAGGACAGACGCAAAGGCACCATGCGTGCAGTCAGCTCCATCAAAGCCGTCGATGCGTCCCAGCCTTGTCGCCTTAATTGTCCCAGAGCGCTCTTCACGAGTAAGGCCCGACGGGCTTCCTCAGGTGTGAGACCATAGCATTCCATGACCGCATGGAGCTCCGACGTGAGCACAGGCTTTGTTTTATGGTACGAGGATGTCGACACTGCATTTGATGGGGCGTCCGGGGAGGTGAGTCGCGCCAGTAGCTTTTCCACGGCAGCCGCGCGAGGAAGGCCATCGTGGTGTTGAAGACGCCGCATCTCTTCTTGCACAGCTTGCCGAAAAAGACGAGTTTGGGAACGGGCGAGCGTGCCCGTCCAGAAAAGGGACGACGGGCTGCTTAAGGTGGCGTTGGTGAGGGTGGAACACACGGGTTGTGGTTGTTTGGGGTCACGAGCACCACTCCAGTCGGGCATGCTCATGATCGAGAAGAGTGAGGAATTCAAACCCTCCTGTTTGGTAGGGTTGAAAAAAGGGAAAAAGTGAAGACAACCCGCCGCAAAACTTCCACCATGGTACGAAAAGACCTTGTGGCACGCCATGTGGACGTGGTGGGTGCCAGGTTATCCGGCATGTGCGCTTTTCTCGTGTGTTTACGACTGTCTGAAGATAGAGCGCTGGCGGCTCTCGGGGTCCTCATCGCGACCGTCACTACTGGCAGTCGTTTCGAGCAAATTTATCCGCGCATTTTACAAATTCCACGAGAGGGTTCATTCCCACACGTGTGTAGCAATGGCTTCACTTCGTGGCGAATCTTGTGCTTCAGGGATGCGTGCGAAGTTTGCGACACCATGGAATCGAAAAAGTTACAGTCGTGCGTAGAGACGTCTCCACCTCACTAGCAAGTAGCTTACCGCCGGTCATCATAAACCGATGATGAAAAAAGAACAGATTTCTCACCACTAAACCCTTCGTTATGACACGCATCACAGGCTCACCGCATGCCTTACCCACGCACGGCGACAAAATGCCTCCTGCCACGTGCTAGTGCAGCCGTGGGCATGTACGAAAAGGTCACTCGACGTAGTACATCGCAAGCGGCCATTGGAACTGCTGCCTCCCCTCCCTCCACCCCAACATTTATAAAGAAAACAAGCCCAATTTTGCCCTCCGTCACGTCACCTCCCTCAATTGAACCTAGGTACGTGCAGGGTCTTTCCCTTGTTGGGAAAACGTGTTTCTAGCGGCGTTCATCTTTCTCTCCACCGCGGGGAAGGGACTGATTCTTTACCCAGCTGGTGCTGATGAACAATTTGCCGATGCACACACACACACCCTTTTCTTTGCCACCACCACGCACAGATACACGCGCAGCTCTCCTCGTGGGACATCCACGGTTCATGGCAATTACACGACCGTGCTGGGGCGGAGGTACGCCTCAGCCACTCGACTCGTCCCCGCTTGTCACCTTACCTCGGCCGCCTCCTCCTCCTCCTCC